GAAGTCATTCACATCCATCTTATAGTCCAAGCTCTTGCCCATTTACTAGATTAAAAAAAAAGAAAAAACTGGAGAAATTTTGAAACCTGTATAGAGATATCTTTCCTTGGATGGTGGTACACAACATGGTAATTATTCATTCCTTGAAGAGTAGATTCCACCTGGCAAATTCTCCCAGTCCTAACAGATCAACATGATCCAAGATCTAGGATGAACTTGAATTCATAGAAATAAATGATCAGTAGTGACATAATTGGGAGTTATTTTATTGACCTGACAAATACAAGCCAGAAGGTCTCAGTGTGCAATTGAATGATCAACTAAAATATTTCCATAAAATGCTACCCAAATTTTGTACTATCAGTCCCTCATTCTGCAGGATGCTGGATATAATTATTTCTTCAGTTTCATGACACATATAATGTTATTATTATTATACCTTCTCTGAAGTAGTGAGTTTTTTTAATAGTAAATGGGATCTTACAATTGCTTGAGGGGAGAAGACACTGTATTGCAGCTGACACTACTTGGACATATACAAACTTGTTTTTCTTATTGTAGCCAATTACAGTTTTAGTAATTAATGTAAATTTTAAATCAATAAGCATTTAAATACATCTTGATTATTGTGTAAAAACTTTAATACTTCTGGTAAGTTCGAGAAAGTACTAAGATGAAAATTTAATGAATGATTTTAGGGACTTCAAGGAAAATCCCAGGAATAATAATATTTTAAGAAACTCACATTATCAGTCATCTTCATGGTACTGAGAATGATAGTTGATGGCAAGCACGTAGACAGCAGTAAGTCTTCATTGAAAAGTGATTCTAAAGAGTCAGTTTCCAAATGTGAAAAACTTGCTTGACTAGTTTATTTTGCTCATTTAAAACAAATTCTGTGTAGTACAAGAATGACAAGATCAAAAAGCTATCTGAACAGTTTCTGTCTGAAAGAATTCCTGTAATAGGGACAAAATAATTTTAAGTGAAAAGGAAGTGATACATTGTAAAGTGGAGACTTTATCTTAGTGGCATGTAAGAAAATGATCTTTAAATGATGAAAGCTTAAGTTAGATGAACTATATTAAACATTTGGAAGAGGAAATGGCAACCCACTCCCGTATTCTTGCCTGGAGAATCCTATGGACAGAGGAGCCTGGAGGGCTACAGTGCATAGCGTCGCACAGAGTTGGACACGACTGAAGCGACGTAGCATATATTAAACATTTGTTAGCTTGTCTTAATAGAAATAATGAGTTAAATTCAAACAAGTATCTTTACTACAAGACTTCTTATAACCTTTACTGTGTTACAGTGCATTTTGGAAATCTAAAGTGATATTTCCCAAATTTAACTATCCTTTCCCCCAGATTTTGTGATAAGAATACTCCGTGGAAAACATTTTGAGAAATATGACTATATTGTATTCCCTGTAAGCAAAAATACTGGTCATTCACAGGACATAAATTGATCCTTTTAGAGGAAAACTTTCATGGGGGGAAATACTATATGCTTTTCAGTTTTTTTCATTAGCAAGTTTCCATTGCAAGTTTGTTAATTAAACCAAGACAGTGGTAGTCAGTACAACACATATATTTGTTGATGGGTGTATTTATGTTCAGTTCCTAGAACAGTACCTAGTGCCAATAGTCAGTCTTTAAATGTCAATTATACTGATCTCTGACACATGCTGTCCCTTCCCTCATGTTCATTCCCTATCAGTCCCTCTCACTTTCTCCTGTGTAGGAAGTATATCTTAGGAACTCTCCTACACTGCTGGTGGGAATGTAAATTGATACAGACATTGTGGAGAACAGTATGTAGTTTCCTTAAACTAAAAATAGAACCCCCACATGACCCAGCAATCCTACTTCTGGGCATATAACCAGAGAAAACCATAATTTGAAAAGACACAGGCATCCTAATGTTCATTGAGCACTATTTACAATAGCCAGGACATGAAAGCAGCCTAAATGCCCATTAACAGAGGAATGGATAAAGAAGATGTGGCACATATGTACAGTGGAATATTACCCAGCCATAAAAAGGACAAAATGTTGTCTTTGCAGCAACATGGATGGACCTAGAGATTGTCATGGTGACCTAAGTTCAGCAGCAAAAGATGAAGGTACAAATGAACTTACTTACAGAAGAGAAGTAGAGTCATGGATGGAGAAAACAAACATGGTTACCAGGGGGTAAGGGGGGGGGATAAATTAGGAGATTCAGCTTGACATATACACACTACTATATATAAAATGGATGACTAATAAGAACCTGCTTTATAGTACTAGGAACTCTACTCAATACTTTGTAATGGCCTATTGGGAAAAGAACCTTAAAAAAAAAAGTGGATATATGTATAACTATAACTTATTCACTTTGAATCACCTGAAACTAACACAACATTGTAAATTAACTATACTCTAATAAAAATTTTAAAAAGAAGTATTTCTTTATTTAAGAAGTAAATAGTAAGTAGTACAACTCTATTTACTTTCGTGACTTAAAATGACTACTTTACAGGGGCTTCCCTGATGGCTCAGTGGTAAAGCATCTGCCTGCCAGTGCCAGAGACTCAGGTTCCATCTCTGGTCCGGGAAGATCCCACATGCCCTGGAGCAGCTGAGCCTGTGCTCTAGAGCACGGGAGCTACTTAAGAAATCGAAACTTAAAGTGGTCCATTTTCAAGGACAGCTAGCCTAGGGCTGCCGTCTGTGGGGTCGCACAGAGTCGGACACAGCTGAAGTGACGCAGCAGCAGCAGCAGCCTAGAGTGGTGGCCTGCTGATGTTTTAGCTCTTAAGATACTTGTGCCAGAAAATCCAGACAAAGGGAGAGTAATAAATCCAGGTGACTTCCTCCGGAAGATTGTTAACCTCATAGTACTCAGCCAATGAGGACTCGGGGAGGGACTTGCATGCCGATAGGCTAAAATCCCCATTGCAATAACTCTGGTGTGCCTTCCCACAAGACATCTGATCTTGCAAGACTGTCATTAAAGCCTTGCTTCTTGGTGCACCTCATGTCTCCAAGTCTGTTCCTTGAGTTTGGGCTGGTGAGCTTTATCTGCCACAGCTGCAACTACTGAGCCTGCACGCCACAACCACTGAAGCCCGTGTGCCCTAGAGCCTGCGCTCTGCAGTGAGAGACGCCTCCAAAGCCACAGCAGTGAGAAGCCCATGCACCACTAGGAACGGTAGCCCCTGCTGACTACTGCAACTAGAAAAAAGCCTGTGCAGCACCGGAGACCTCGCGCAGCCAAAAATAAAGTTTTAAAAAATTACTACTTAACACTTACTAAAAGAGTTGAGACAGAAAGAGACAGAAAAGAAATAATTGTATGCAATATTTGGCTCCAGAGTGTTTCATTAACAAAGAACATCATTAACAGTTTTAAATATTTAAGTGCATTTTCCTAGTCTGTACTTTGTCAGCCTTGTCTGCAAAGCCAAGGAAATGTAATTATGTTTTTGGATTGTGAGTTATTGGGAGGAAAACATGACTCAGAAAGATTAGTGTGAATTGGTTAGTACATTTGATAAACTAAAGTGATACCTGAGATTGTATTCTCAAGCACATTTCAAACAAATATTAAGTACTCATAGTCAATTCTTGGTTATTTAGGCTAACAAAATGTAAGCCTACTATATATATATGTGTGTGTGTATATATATATGTATGTGTATATATATATGACTTCTATACCTTTTAAATATTTATTCAGCAAAGGAATATACTTCTGACTATATAGTAATATGATTAAAGGAGATTAAGAACACAGTGGTTTACTTAGAGACTGATTATCACTTCCTGGGTTTGAATTCTGCTCTGCAGTATACTCGATGTGTGATATTGAGTTATAATGTAACCTCTTAGGCCTAGTTTTTCCTGTATTCGATGGGCATAATAATAGCATCTTCCTCAGAGTGTTAATGTGATTATTAAATGAGTTAACATGTAAAACACTTAAACAGTTCATGATACATAGTAAGTGTCCCATAAGTGTTACCTATTATGCTTGCGGTTGTTTTACTGTGGATCTGCACCTCAAGCGGTACATCACCCCTGCATAGAAGACCAGGCTAGTTACTCTCTGAGCCTGTGCCCTTCTTTTGTATATTAGATGAATGGTGTGGGAAATCAACAAGTTAACTATGACCCTGATGCCCTTTCAGTGAGAAGGATAGCATACATCACTTCTAAGACTTCTCAGAATAGTACTCCTGCAGGTATCATTTAACACCTCTATCCAAGCATTTTTTCTTACCCCAAAGTACTAAGAAAGATGAAGTTGAAGCTCCACACATCTCTGCACTTTACATTTTCCTCTCAGGTTTGTGCATTATGGTGATTCTGACACATATGTCATACAAGAAAAACCACAAATTCCATAATTACAATTTTTCAGTTAAGAAGATACACTAATAATAGTAGGAATTCAGATTAAAAGAAGATAAATTGTTCTCAGAGAAGATGTCTTTTTCTGTTTTGAAATAAAAATTATAAAAATATTCTCAACTTCCACTGTCAACAAATTTCCCTCTTCTGTTTTGAACTACTACAAATGAGTGAGCTGAAAAGGCTACAGGAGAATCATTAGTTACCTCTGGGACACTGTACACTCTTACTGTGGGGCAACCCAAGACAAAAATTTCAATAAGCATGAGTTTGACTTATGATTTGGGTGAAAGGTAGAGTAACATATTGCTCCTGTATTTCCCATGCAGTGTTTACCTTCTAGCACCAGCCGTGTCAAAGACTTGACAGTGAAAGCAAACCAAAGTTTATTGCATATGTAGGATACAGTTCAAAAACCAGACTTAACACTGCTTAATAGGAGACTTTCTCAGCAGCTACTGAGGAAGGGTAACATTCAGTAATGATGAAAATAGGCCAAGTGTGTCAGCTGTACTATTGTGATTTTAAAATATTCTTCTACGTTATAGTCTAGTACTCTATAACACAGAGAATTCTAACATGCCTCTCTCTCTTTTTCAGAGCTTTGTATTTTTCTTAGGATGTCATTGGTCTGAGTCTGTACTACCATCTAATTCAACAAACCCTCTGGGACCATAATGGGGCCAGTTGGGCAGCTGAAGGAGAAGGCAGAATGCCAGCATCTTGAAAGGAATAGCATGTGTATAATGTAGTTATTTCCTGGTGAGGGTTTGATTTTTCTAGGGGAAAGAAAAGCATTTTGAATCGTACCATAGCTATGTTATTCGAATATACAAGCTGAAGAATATCAGGAGTGTTTCTTAAGTTATAAATAAACTTGTGAATGTTGATTTAAGTATCTCACATTATTTCTCCTGTTCTCTGCCTTTGCTTGTTGCAAAAAGGTTAAAACATCAAAAATCATTTGACCAAAAAATAAAGGTGGTAGTTACTGAAAACTCTGGGGAAAAAAATAAAAAATGCAGCAAAAAACTTACTGATTTACAATTGTATAAAACTACAAACCACGACTTAAAGTCGCTCAGTCATGTTTAACTCTTTGCGACCCCATGGTCTATACAATCCATGGAATTCTCCGAGCCAGAATCCTGGAGTGGGTAGCCTTTCCCTTCTCCAGGGGATCTTCCCAACCCAGGGATCAAACCTAGGTCTCCTGCATTGCAGGCAGATTCTTTGCCAACTGAGCCAGAAGGGAAGCCCATAAAACCACAAGATTGCATCAAAATTTTAACTGAGGTAGAATTGACCTTTCCAGAAAGCTAACTGTACTCACGTGAAGTTGCACAGCTGATAACATGAAAGAGCTCACATTGGAACCTATGTCTCTTCCAGTTCAGTGCTTTTTTTTTTTTTCCCCCCTTCACCCAGCATGTTTTCATTGTTTCTCTATGTTATATACTGTGCTGGGTGATAAAGTGTTGAACAAAAACTATATCACAGTTTCTTCCCTCATAACTTAGTAGTTAATCAAGTAACCTACACAAATGAAAATTACCAAATGTAAACTACAAATGTATCTCAGAGATGGTCAGGGAATAAAAACACAGAATAGGCAGCTGATGCACTGGTGTAAAGAAGAGAGGTAAGGAGGCTTCTCCAAGGAAGAGACCATTGAGCTAAAATGTTAATGAATTATGGATGAGATGAGACAGTGAACTGGGTTGGTGTTACACCAAAATGCCATCTGGTTTTATTTTTTAGGAACACTTAGGGAAATAAAAGTTTTTTTTCTTTGGCTACTACCAAGGGTGAGTCACTTCTTTATTTCATAATTATTTTCTGGGACAAATAGACTCTGAGATGGCTCTGACGGTCCATACTTCCTGTAATTCAGGCCACTGTGTGGCCCCTCTTCCTTGAGTGTGGGAAGAATCTGTGACTTACTTCCAACCAAGAGAATAGACAGAGGTGAAGGGACTCCACTAATGTGATGGTGTTGCATTAAGATTGTAACTTAACATCTTGCTAGCATGTTTCCTACTGTCTCTCTCCCTGTTGGCTTTGGTAAATTAAGCTGCCTTGTAAGCTACCACATGCACTATCTAGATGGAAAAGAGCATGTGGCATGAAACTGCTGGCAAAACCAGCAAGGCACTGCCCCTCTCTCTCTGACCATCTGCCAGGAATTAAATTCTGATCCTTCCCCGCCTGGGCCTTGAGATGAGACAGAACCCTGATTTGTTGACTGTCGCCATGTGAGAGGCCCTGAAGTAGGGGACCCCATTAGGCCTTAGCCAGACTGTTGACCCGCAGGACATGTGAGATAATAAAATATGTGTAGTTTTAAGCCACTAGGTTTGTGGTAGTTTATCACACATCGATAGATAACTAGTCTATTGCCTTTTTGAGTTGTTTCATGCTATTTGAAGTATCTTTTTTTTGATGGCATTAAGTCCTCTAACATTTTATAAAAATTTCCTAGAAGATTAAATATTTTGAAATTATTTAGATCATCATTTACTTCTTATTATATACTGTTGAAAAGTCTTTTAAAGTTGAAAATTTGGAAGTATCAATACATGATCCATTTAGGAATTATATAAAGGAAGATATTCTACCACTATTTTTCTGAAATGTCATACTGTAGTCTAAAAAGCATTAGGTTGAAAACTAGACCAATAGAGATTTAAATTATTCAGTATTGAATGTGTTAATGATCCACCTGTGTATGAATTCCAGTCCATCACATAATAGCCAAATGAACTTGAATAAACTACTTTACTTGTGTAAGTTTCAGTGGAAATAATAATTGTAACTTCACCAAATTATTGTGAAAAAATGAGGTATTGTATGCAAAGTACACTGGTACAAAGTGAGAGTTTAAATATTTTAACTATTGTCAAAAAATTACAAATGCCTTTTGTTCAGTTATATAAACTATGCAGTCAAGTATTTAATAATCTAATAACAGATTACAGTCTCATTTCACTTTTTGAAATTTTAGATGAGAGTGAGAAATTTCTTAAAATATAATTACATCTTTCTGCTGGCTTGAAAAAAATTTAGAACAATTTTCAGTGATTTGAGTCATGGATTAAGATATTTGCTACTTCACATAACAGTCATTAGGACTGTTTTATTAATAGTTTCGCAGGGCCCACCAGTCTTAATCCATTTAATCTTTTTTATGTAGTCCTCACTCTTGTATTTTTTCCTTCTTACCCAGTGCTTTTACTGAGTTAAGAAGTAACTCTGCAAGGGAGTATTACCAAATTCATCACAAATTTTTAAGAACATTAAAATTGTATGGTTACTATATGGTATAATTATAGACTTTTGTTTGACAATAAACCAAGCTGTTTTCAACATTTACAGAATAAAGACACTGCAGGACTTGAGTGATAGTAGGTAATTAGGTACTATTTAGTAATTATTAACACATCAGTATGCTTTTACATTTAATATCTATTTCAAGTTTCTTTCAGAAATATAGCATGAGAATCCAACAGCCTTCTAAGGACCTGAAAAGTGGGAGAATATTGGTAATGTTAATAGACCAAAGATGAATTACTTTAAAAGTATTTGCACTAAAGCAATGTTTTAACTTCACTCATAGCTTCATAACTCGTTTCTACCCTTAAAGATGGTTAATAGTAACATCAACGAAAAGTTAAGAACATGTGCTCAAACCTTGTTAATAAAAATCCAATTTTAAGCTTTTTTAAAAAGGAGGAAAAACTACATGGCATTTTAGATGGTGGGTTTATTTTATTAGGACATTCTGTTAGTCCTCAGCCAATACAACATATGTTTTATTATCACACATAAATACAGATTTTTTTCAAATGTCCTACCAAGATGGGCAAATTACTAAAATTTAGGTGGTTTTCAAAAGAAAAATGTTGCTGATGTAGTTTTGTTTTCTGTTTTAAAAGAGCTAGGCTCAGTATCATCTATTAAATATACATTATATATTTCCAGCCACATATTACATGCTCTCTGAAATTACTGCTATTATAATAGTCCCATTTACATAGCATAATAAATCTTCATAAGACTGGGCATTTATCATTCTTTTAAAATCAAAATTTATCAAATTTTAAGTGCAGAGAGAAGATTCTTAATTATGTAAGACAGTGTCAAGATATGAAAGAATGGTGCATATCAATGGTTAATTAGAGAAAAATTCTGACTTTGTAATACATAACTTTAAATAATACCTTTTTAATACAAGAAATCATTGCAACCAACCTGTCCCTTGCATTATTTAACATAAAAAAGGAAATACGATTTTCATCCATGTGTAAACTATATTAGATTAGGAACCTACAACAGAGAAGCTGAATGATAGTTTTGAAGTACTGAATATGTTAATGGTCCACCTGAGTATGAATTCCAGTCCATCACATACTAGCCATATGAGCTTGAATAAACTACTTTACTTGTGTAAGTTTCAGTGGAAATAATAATTGTAACTAATTCATAGAATTATTGTGAAAAAATGAGATATTGTCTACAAAGTAGAGGTTGAGTTAGTGTCAGGCTTTCTTATTAGAAGGAAGTTCATGAAGAAGTCATTCTCTGTAACATAAAATATTAGTTATATACACACTTCTAGATTATCTCAAGAGAAAACATATCTCAGATCATTCATAATATAGCCCCAGGAGAGTGCAGTATCATTTGGGACAAATAATTTTAATCTGAACATTGAGCAGGTGAGGCAGAGAAACCTCCTGTTTTGATCTTTGTGAGCCTCTTGAACAGGGATAGGATTCTTTTACAGAGAAATTGTATTCCCTGTGTCAGTTTCCTGGACAGGAAGCTGGAGGTGAGATGGTCATTGGATCTGAAATTGGAGTAGTCTACTTGGGTTCAAGGGTACTCCCAGATTATGGCGTCCATGTCACCTGGTCGCAAGGAGGCAGGTCAGCTAAAAAGGGATGTTGAAAGGCTGACATGTCCTCAGAGACCCCTGAACTTTGCTCCAGCAAGAGGCCACTGTGCCAGGCTGCTCATGTCACTGCAGTTTCTCTGCGAGGCCTGTCTTGACCACCCTATCTAAAATTGCACCACCATTCCACCTAGTTCCCTTTCATTATCTACTGATATCTTTAGCTGCTATCATAATCACACATACTACTTGTGTATCTCATTAACTGTTTTTCTTCAGGCTACAGATAAGCTCATAAAAATAAGATTTCTGTCTGTTTCATGTGCATCGACATCCTCAGGACCTAGAAGAAAGCCTGGTATATATTAAATAATGAATGTCATGTGAATGCGTGAATGAACTATTCCTTTTAAGTCAGATGAACTACTTCTATATGACTTTTTATTTCCTTTGTAAGTTTTCCTTTAAATAATTTAAGGTTAATGTATAGACTAAAGTTGCAAAGTGAGTCTTCCTTTATTGTTAAATTTAGAGGGTCTGGGCTTGATTTTTTAGTGGACTAACTGCAAAGAAATGACCTCTCAATCAAATGCCAAGAAATTTTCTACTTTAAAGAACAAAAAATTCCCAATATCAATCAACATTTGAGTGACAGATACATGAAAAGGTTGGTCACAGAAAGAGATAATGAACAGAACGCACAAAACTCAAAATGAGGAAAATACACAGAGGTAAAACAGATCCTTACTAAAGAGGAACTGTTACCACATCATTTTATAATTTAATATCTGTTACATATACTTAACAAACTAATATGTATGTAAACATAAACTGTTTACATCACCTGTTATTCCCAGCAAATCACTGCACTGTCATCAAAAGTCCTACTTTAGGAAATCTTGCAGGTACAATCAATAACTTCATATC